CTCAAACAGAAGGAAACCATAAGCAAAAAGGAGTTTCAGGTTCGAGAGCTGGAAGACTACATTGACAATCTGCTTGTCAGAGTCATGGAAGAAACCCCCAACATCCTCCGCATTCCTGCTCAGGTTGGCAAAAAAGCAGGAAAGATGTGAACTGCCAGGATAAAACACTGAGATGCTTTTGTGTTTGTTTCTACCTGCTCTTGAAGTCAAGAACATAGTATGCCTGATAATCAGCCAGTAGGCTCCAAATCACCATCTCTCCTGTGTGTTATCTGTCAACAGTTAATTCTACCAATCGAAACCAGGTTAATTATTACAGTGAATCTTTTACTGTACATTCCCAGGGTTTTATTTTCAAATGCCACTGTGCCTTGAATTATGTTGTAAATATTTTATGCCCACCAGAGACGTAGTCTTAAGAACTAATTCCGAATCAAAGATTCAGATGGCACTGGACTTTTAATAGTGGGGTTGTCTTTCTTTGATATTGAGCTTTTTCAAATATATATCTCCAGCCATTACAATTTGGGGTGAAATGAGAAAAGGACCACAATTGGTGCTGTTACCTGTTTTTTTCTTGGCCTTTAAGCAGCTCAGGTGTGGCTTTTTGGATGCAGATGCTGAATTTTGATACCATGTAAATTTACCAGGCTTCTTAGACTTGCTTCCTGTTTCTCTTTTTCTTTTGACTTGGAGCAGTCATTTAGGGAAAGCCTCTTGAGTGTGCCTCTTAGATTCTGAACAAACCACCTCTTCTCAGCATCAGCTTCCACCACTCTGACCTTAAAATATCCATAGGTCCTTTCTCTTGGAGATGTAAAAAGTAGAATATGGGACTTAGAGGATCACTTTTCACTCAACTAGGAGAAGTTGATCAAAGTCAAGGTTCCTGCTGGCTGGACTGGCTTTGTCAGTGCCTTAATAAGGGACTGGGTGATCCAAACTCTTACTAAAACAGTTCTTTCAGGTACAGAATGGTTTTAGTAAGATTCCTTTGGCCATTTCCATCTGTGCCTTTGCTTGGCTTGCTGGTTTCCTTGGCAGCTTCCCTGGAGCGAGCCAGGGCCCACTGACTCCTCAAGATGAAGAAGGCTGGGGTGTAGCTCAGTGGTAGAGCTCTTGCCTAGCATGTGCAAGGTCCCGGGTTCCATCCCCAACACCACAAAAAAGAGGAAGCGGGAACCTTTGTCATGTATGTCATGAGAAACCACAAAGGAATAAGGATGTATCCATATGATTTGTCCTCTAAATACTGTCTGTCTCTGCTTGAAAGGAAACCTAAGTTACTCCCAGGATACTATGAGAGTTGTAGTGCAGGGCTTAATTTAGTTGATAAAATTTAAAAGCCAGTAGAGAACAGAAATGCTGCAGCCTTTAAACTGTTGCTTATTTTTTGTTTTCCTTTATGAACAGACTCACAGACATTTTACCCCCTTGTTAGAAAATTGTGAAGAGTGGGCTGGGGATGAAACATATGCAGAGCATTTGCCTACATTTGGGAGGCCCCAGGTTCCATTCCCAGCACCAGGAAAAAAAAATTGTGGGGAACAAGATGATACTTATTTTTGGCTGTCTGTATTTTTAAAACTAGATTAATACGGACATTTTTTAAAGCTAGGTACCTGCCTTCTTTGTAACTTGTACCACCACTTCAAGTTTTTCAGGTAATTTTACTGTTGTTCACATCATATTGAAATTAGAATGTTTTGAATTGCTCATTTTTCCCCTCCTGATTGTGATGGAATTTCATCAAATCCTGACATCTCTCCTGGGGAAGAATCATCAGAGGTCAATGGCACTGGCATGGGTTGAGATGGTGGCAGTTATTAAATGGAGACTCTCTTCTGTGTATGTCCTTCTTACGGTGAGGGCAAGGAACAAGAGTCCCTTTTCAGGATTGTTCTTCCTGCAGCCTTGGTTCTATTAGAGCACTTTAATCTGAAGGGTGATATTGTAACTTGATTTATCTAATTAGCTTTTAGGAATCCACAGCTATTTTATTTTATTTAATTCTTTCCTGTAGTACTGGGACCACTGTAAACTTCAAATGCCTCGTATTTTTGTAGTGCTGTGAAATGTGTTGCTATGCCTCTAAAGAAACTGTATATCCACTTGAACTCTGGAAATGTACATGTATATATTTGTTCTGCATCATATTTTTTACTTGATATAAATGTATTTTACTGTGATAACCCAAGTGCGCTGGGAGGCAGGTATATACTGGATGGTTTCTCTCCTTTGAAAGAGCTAGTGTGAGGATCTACATGGTACATGAGGGCTTTGGAGATATCTGCTGCTAGGACCTTGGGTATGTAACTCAGTCAACATTGGAGAGGGACATCTGGGTGGAGGAGTGAATTCCTGTTCTCTGAAATGCCACTTGGGAACTCTGGAGAATGAAGGACAATTTACTTCAAGGGTATCTGGCTTCTGCCACTGCTGGAAAAAAAAATTCACTTTCTAGCATTCCTTGTACCTCACAAAATAGATAACCTGGAGGTCATTTAGTTACTAACTGTCCTTGGCTTAGTTTGGGGCTGGGAGAAGGGACTTATCTAAGAACAGCTGTAGCATGCTCTGAGCCATTAACAGAAGTTAGGGAACAGCCTCTGCACAGGAGCAGCTCTAACTGGCATAGGCCTAAGGGCATCTATCCATCTGCACCAGGAGAGCTGGCACTTGCCTGAGCCTGCTGCAGATGCTAATACCTAGCAGGCCTTGGGAGGAAGCTGTGTTCTACAGAAGTGAGAGCAGTTCTTTTTTTTTTTTTTTTTTGGGGGGGGGGGCTTGTCTGGTTTCCTCCAGAAACATCAGCTAGGATTGCAGGAAAGCATCAGATTAAGTAAGTACCAGTGAACTTCATTTGGAGGTCATTTTTGTGGAAAAAAATGTCAATCTTTGGCTTGATTGTTTCATATCATCTCATTCCTTGGGCTTTGCCAGATGTCCTGCCTTTTTATTCAGCCTGCTGACTTCATTGAGGCAACAGAAGGTGGGAGCAAGCAGCTGCCCATTGCCATGTTCTGTATGGACCCAGAATGGAGGGCCTGCATGGATGAGATGCAGTCCTATGCTGCATGGATGAGATGCAGCCCTGTAGAAAGCTTTCTACAGGGCCCAGAGGGAGGAAGGTCCTGACACTGTGCCACATACTGTATTGAAGGCCGGAGGCCTGTTTGTGTTAAGTTATGCAAGATCTTTCTCCCTGGGTTTCTTCTCCCAATCAACCTTCTTTTTTTCTTCTCTTGGTGCTGGGGATTAAACCCAGGACTTCGCACATGCTAGTAAGTACGCGTTCTACCACTGAACTAAGGCCCATCTTTTTCCTTTTTTTTTTTCAGATCTACTAATTAATTGCTTTAGATGGGAGAACCTTCCCTTCTAATATCCATACCAGTCTCAACTCTGTATTTTTCTTCTTCTACTATGTGAGTTACTAGTTGACTTTCCCTTCCCTCCAATTGAAGGATCCCCCAGAGTTTTTGGATTACAGAATAAACTATTTCTTGTTTTGTTACTTTGGGATTTTAAAATTTCTTTGTCTTATTTTTTAAAAGTAACCTAAAATTTCCTATAACACTAAATAAAATGGTACTGTCTTTCAAAGATTTTGTGTATTTATTTTAATATGGGTATGATTAAGGTTTCTTCTGTCTTCTGGAAAATCTCTTAGAGTGGTATATGTGACTAGATCCATGAGGATCTCCCACTTGGATTCTTGTTGCTATACCTTGCTTGATGCCCAGGGGTCCCTAGGCCCTTTCTCCATCAGAGGACAAGACATCTCTATATCCCTTTGCTAATACACACTCCTCATCTTGTCCTGAGAGACTATGGTATGACATTAAGCCAGTACACATCATATGAATATTCTGCCTCCAACTCTAAAGCTGCACCTTTTCCTTTTAGCTGGTGCCTTTAGCTGAGCCAGTGGACACAGAGCTTTTCTTGTTTTCTTGTGCTTACATACAGTTTTCCCAGAGAATGAAGTCTTCACCTGGGGACATGAGTTGAATTCACACTGGGTTCGTAAGTGCCCCATCTGGGAAGCAGTTTCTGGGTTCAGTCAACTTAGTTGATCCGCTTAAGAATAGAGGCTATTGGGGCAAGACAAGGAGTCTCCTCTGAGTTCATCTCTCCAAAGGCCAAATCTTTTTCCCAGTGAGGGAAATGTTTGTCTTGTAGATATTAAGGTCACATTACAGAGCAACAGAGGCAGGTGGAGCCCATGAAGCTCTGGGTTGGGTCTGGGGAACCTCCCTGGATTTGATGGACAAGCTTGGATACCCCAACTGGACATCAATGGAAACACCATGTCAACGCATCTGAAAAAAGTTTCTTTCCATCCCCCGCCCCTTTCTCTCTACTGGGGATGGAATCCAGAACCCTGCACATGCTAGGCAAGTACTTTACCACTGAGCTACATCTCCAGCCCCAAAATAGCTTCTCTTAATGAAGAAACTCAGCCCTATAGGTTTGGTTAAAAAAAAAAAAAAATCCCTGTACAACACTTCCTTAGCATGTGTGAAGCCTGGATTCAATTCTCTGAATTAAAAAAAAAAGGAAGAGGCTTCTAGGTGAAGAGTCTCCAAGGAAGAAAAGCTTACACAAATGACCTCAGCTTTTCTCTTGTAGAGTCTTTCTTTTGCTTTTGGAATTCTCTGTTTGGTTCCTGCTACTGCCACCAAGCCCAGCCCCATTTTCAAAATCCAGGGACACAAGTCTCTCTTTTGAGTCCCCTTAGCCCAGCTGCTAATAACAGAGCTTTTTAAAAAATACCAAGAAGTCAGGGAAATGAAAATTGGGTATATGAACAGCATAAGAAGGAAAACACTTACAAATTCAGAATTTTGAGCTGAAGGAAGTCAAGCCCCAGAAGTCCAGGGGCTAAGTAGTCCCTACCCACCTCCTCCAGGTGGTACAGGTTCTGCTTAGCTGATTAATGACTTCTTGTGGTCCATTCTGGAGCAGCAGAAAACACTGTTCCTCCCCCTCCACTATCCAATCCATAGGCTCAGTTTGCAGATTTTTCTAAGTAATATCATAACATGTTTGTTCTTGGAAAAGTAAACAGTCAAAACTTCCCCCTACCAAGAGGTAACCACTATTATTTTGACTACTTGTCCTAGAAATTTTCCTCTGATACAAATAGATACACTTTAAAAGGAAGATACAACACTTGTGGCTTGGATCTTAAATATCCCCCAAAAGCCCAGATGCTAATGGCTTGGTCACCAGCCCATGGGGCTTTTGGGATGTGGTAGATCTTCTAGGAGGTAAGACCTAATTGGAGGGAGTTAGGTCTTTAGGGGTGTGTCCTAGAGGGAATTTTGGGACCTTGGCCCCGTTCTGTCTCTGCTTCCTGGCAGCCTCGAGGGAGGCAGCTTTACTCTACCACATGCTGTAGCTATGATCTGCGACCTTGCCACAGGCCTATGATCAGTAGAGCCAACGGACTAGGAACTGAAACCATGAGCAGAACAATGCAGAAGGGAAAAACAATGTGAGCAAGGAGAAATACCAGAATTTTGGAAGTCCTGGCCAGGTTCTATACTGTGTATCTGTGGCTATCTCACCAGCAAGTGCTAGAGAATGAATGTCCACCAAAGAGCTGGGGTGGTAGAAAGAAAATCCAGTCAGAAAGGCTCCAAGGCCTGAGGCAGTTGCCAGGCTTAGTGTGACAATGAGACAGTGTATTCAAGGCTCAGAGTGAAACTGGGTTAGAGTCACAAAGTTTTAGTCAAATGCGCTGAGAGCGCCCAAGGTTGGGGCCGAGTTACAGACCTCAAGAGCAGCCTGACTCTCATTGTTTACTTGCTCTGGGTTAGAATAATTCTCCCACTGTGGAATTCAGTCCATCTGGTACTTCTGACAGTCCCACCCGGAACAGGTATTCAAGGGAGTTGGGCCACTTTTTTCTGAGCACCATCCTCAGGATAGGAAAGCCACTCTTTCTGACAGAAACCTGGAATCAAAGGGAAAGTGAGACTGGCAAACAGCTCACCAGAATACACATGGCTAACCAAGGGAGGGTGGGCAGAGGGCTTCCTTCAGGCCATATCTTGCTCTCCTTCCATGCTGTCTTCTTTAATGTACCCTCTAGAAAGGGCCTTGGCCTAAAAGTCAGCGTTGCACATCTGGAAGACATCTGGGGCTGCCTTTTCTTTCTTTTTTTAAGTTTTATTTCTCAGTTGTTGATAGAACTTTATTTTAATTTATATATATGTGGTGCTAAGAATTAAACTCAGTGCCTCACACATACTAGTGCTCTACCACTGAGCCACCACCCCAGCCCCTGGGGCTGCCTTTTCAACGGCTTCCCCATCCCCCAGCAGCTCTAACCCAGCCCACTGTGAGCACTCAGCTGAGGGGCATCACTTACACCAACAATCCCTATCATGAAAGACAATAACACTAAGAAGAGTCAGTGGTAGGGCAAAGCACACTGAGGATGATGTGTCTGTCCTGCATTCTTGCCGCAAGGCAAATAAATACAAGAACGCAGGACAGACACATTTCCAAATCAATCACTTTCCTGAGAAAGTGGAGACTGCCCAGACTTAAATGGCTTAGCAGAGTGCGCCATCTTCTGACCTGGATTTTACCTTCCTCCTAGCCTGTGTCTGAGGACAAGGCTCCATTATGGTACCAATACACCCATCTCTTGTGACTAGAAAAGGGAATGACATTTCTACCTCCTTACAACTGCTATTTGGAGGATCTGAGATCTGCTCTCCCACCTACAATGTATATATAGTTGGGGAAAATGGAATGTTGAAGTTCTGTAAACCCCTTATTTTTGATACTGGGGATTGAACCCAGAGGGGCTTAACCACTAAGCCACATCCCCAGCCTTATTTATATTTTATTTAGAGACAGTGTCTCACTTAGGGCCTTAACTTAGAGTCTTAGAGCCTCTCTAAGTTGCTGAGGCTAGCTTTGAACTCATGATCCTTCTGCCTCAGTCTCCTGAGCTGCTGGGATTACAGGCGTGTACTACCACACCTGGCCAAAAGCCTACTTTTTAATCTTTTTACTTTATTTTATTTTTTTGGTTCTGGGGATCAAACAACATGAAGCTATACCAGTGGGTCACACCCTCAGCCCTTTTTATTTTTTATTTTGAGACAGGGTCTTGCTAAATTACTGAGATTGGCCTCAAACTTATGATGTTCCTGCCTTAGCCTACCAGATAGCTAGGATCACAAGTGTGTGCCACTGTGCCTGGCTTTTTATTTTTATTTATTTATTTTTAAAAATTTATTTTAATGTAGTTAGGTTGAAAATCTGCACAAAATTGGGAATAAGATAAACCTGATTCTATTCTGTTTAATAAAGTAAAGAATGACTTCCGATGATAATTATGTTGCCTTTAGGTACATGTTTCTTCTCCCCAGCAGGAATGTCAAGTGTATATTGTAAAACTAATGGAAGTCCCTGAGATGTACATGTGTTCTCCCATACAAGTGTGTCTTACTATTTACCTGCCAGACAAATAGAAATAAATCGTCACCCAATACCTCACTCTGGTGAGGAAGTCTTGAAGACAGGGGACTTGGAAGGCCAGAACCCAGATGTTGCTGTTGTGCTGAAGCCCAATTCTTGTATGGAGTTAGAGCAAGAAATTCAAATTTAAGTGAAGATTAATTAGGGATTATTATGTCCCTTGATTGGGGGAATGTCTTCTAGTATGATAAAGCTCTGTGATAGTGGATAGGTTTTCTCTAAAAAAGGAGTAGTGATTCTCTGCAGGCACAGTGGCCCACACCCATGAACCCAGGTAAGGAGGCTGAGGCAGGAGGACTGCAAGTCAGAGGCCAGCCTGAGCAACTTAGCAAAACCCTGTATCAAAATAGAAAATATAAAGGCCTGGAGATGTAGTTAAGTGGTGGAGTGCCCTTGGTTTTAATCCTCAGTAAGGCAAAACAATAAATTTTATTCTTGCCCTATGTGATTGTGCTCTTCTGAAGTCCCAGTCTCAGGAGGCTAAGGCAGGAGGAACACCTGAGGCCAGGAATTCAGGGCCAGCTTGGGCAACTCAGCAAGACCCCATCTCTTAAAAAAAAAAAAAAAACAAAACAACTTTATTGCTGGGTGCCATGGTGCAGCACCCAGCAGCTTCAGAGGCTGAAGCAGGAGGATCACAAGTTCAGAGGCAGCCTGAGCAATTTAATGAGACCTAAGCAATTTACTGAGACCCAGTCTCAAAATGAAAATAAATAAATAAATAAAAAGTTCTGGGGAATGTTGTTCAGTGGGAATAGCCCCTCTGAGTTTAATTCTTGGTACCAAAACCAACCCAACTTTATTTATTTATTTGAGATATACAGACTGAATCCAGGGCATTACACATGCTTAGGCAAGCACTCTTACCACTGAGCTACATTCTTAACCTGCCCCATCACTTTTAAAATTTTATTTTGACATAGGGTCTTGCCAAATTTCCCAGACTGGCCTTGAATTTGCAATTCTCCTGCCTCAGCCTCCTGAGTAGCTGGGGGTCACAGATGTTACCACCTTTCTGGCTTAAAATCTTTACTCTTCATGAACACAATTAGAACTTACCTATAAGAAAATATACTGTTGGGCAGGAGCTGTGGCTCAGCGGTAGAGTTCTTGCCTAGAATGTGCGAAGCCCTGGGTTCAATCCTCAGCACCACATAAAAATAAATAAATAAAATAAAGGTATTGTGTCCAATTAAAAAATAAATATTTTTTTAAAAAAGAAAATATACTCTCTTTTTGTTGATGTTTAATTTAGACTCAAACATATTCATCATGTCTTAATCTGTTTGTGCTGCTATAACAGAATACAGGAGACTTTGTAAATTATAACTAACAGAACTTACTTTCTCATAGTTCTGGTGCCCAAGAACTCCAAGATCAAGGTGCTGGCAGGTTTGAAGGCTGTGTCCTCCAGAGGAGATGAATCCTATGTCCTCACATGGCAGAAAACTGAAGGGCAAAGGGACCAACATCTCTCCATTAAGGCCTTTTATAACTGCATTAATCCATTTTCTTTTTTAAATATTTATTTTTTAGTCATATGGACAAATATCTTTACTTTTATACTTATGTGGTGCAGAGGATCGAACCCAGTGCCTCATGCATGCTAGGCGAACGTTCTACCTCTGAGCCACAACCCCAGCCCCCATTAATCCATTTTTTTAATACTACTTTTTAATGTGAAAAGTAAGAACAAAAGGAATATAAGATAAACCAGAAACTAATGAAAAGTATTACCTCTGGAGGTTAATCCATACTAAGGGCAGAGCCCTCATGATCTAAACAACCTCCCAAGACTCCACCTTATAACATGTTACATTGGGGATTAACACATGAATTTTAGGGGACACATTCAGATCATTGCACATTTCTATGTGTTGGTTTGAGTTGGGCCTTCTTGCACCTTCCAATTTGCCAAAAGCCTCACTACTGCCTATTATTTCACTCCAAAGTCCGTTAGACATTCTTTGCAATTTGCCAGGGGAAGCAGCTCTGAAAAAGAGAATAAAATTTCCTGCTCTCTCACTACATTACTCCTGTAGCAACATACTTTGCACTCCTGCCAAAATTAACATTCGAAGAGAAATTAAGAACCTGCGATTCCCAGGGCTTTAAAAACAGGGTGGTTCAGGAGGTCAACAATTTCTAGTCTGTTATACGTGTCCATGTACATAGAAAGTTTCCCCAAATTCAAACCCCACATGGCCCATCTCAAACCAAATACAGATAGCAGAGAATGTGAGACGCAGTTCAGACCAGGAACCTCCTCTCTTAACTCATGTTTCTACCGGAGCCTGAAGAGGCGAAGACCGGAAGTGGCGCGCCGCCGTGGGGAGGAGCCAACCATTTATGCTGCCGTCGCTCTGGCCGGAAAAGAAAAGTGCAGCCCTTATAAGGGTCCCCTCCTAGTCTGATAACACAGTTGCTGTTGCGGACGCTGAAGTGAGTATCCAAGGCTTCAGCGACGTTGCGCAGGTGGTGAGATGCCGGGCGGAGGCCGATGCCCCGACTGTGGTTCTACTGAACTCGTGGAAGACTCTCACTATTCGCAGAGCCAGCTGGTGTGCTCTGATTGCGGCTGCGTGGTCACCGAGGGGGTACTTACCACCACCTTCACCGATGAGGGCAACCTCCGAGGTACCTGTGTTTGCCCTTTCCTGGGCCCTGGAAACAGCCTGGGGCGGTGGAGGGATTTCTTCTTTTCTCCCTCACTTTCCTAGACACGCGCTCACTTAATTGTGGGAGAAAACGGCCTAAAGTGAATAAATGAGCTGAGGACATCAGGGACTGCCACTCATCTGTGTTTTCTTAGTACCTAGAATGATGTCTGGCATATATTGTAGGTATAGTCAATCTTAAATAAGTGAAATTAAGGAAGTTCTACCTAGATGCCAAATCAAATGATTGTTGAAAGATTGTGGGTAAATTCTTTAGGAATACAGTACATGCCAGTATCCCAAGTAGTTTTAGCATTGGTGAACATCTCTTTTTTATTTTTCTTTGATTTGTAAGTCCCTGATCAGTGCAGCCCTCAAAGTATTCAGCGAGATGACTGAACCTTCCTCAGTCATTGTGCATTTGATATTGCTTGTGGACACAGAAGACCAAATGGACTTTTACCTTTGCATGCAGGGGCATCTTCTGTGAAACAGGGAGCAGCAGATGCACAATGATTTGAATTCTGTTCCCTGACCTTGTGTGTGTGTGTTTGGGGGGTGTAGAGTTCTGATGAATAGAGCTTAAGCCTGATGTTTGTTGTTCATTATTTTACAGAAGTAACATATTCTCGAAGCACAGGGGAAAGTGAACAAGTTAGTCGCAGCGAGCAAAGAGGTGAGAATCACTTTTATGACATAATGGCTTTAAAGAAAATTATCCTGATGGCCCAGCCCATCTGTGTGGTTTTTCTGCTTTCCGCATTAAGGTAGAATATAAGAAAATAATAATTAGAAATAAAGGTTGGGAGCCAGTTGGTGGCACACACCTATAATGCCAAGCTACTCAGGAGACTGAGATTGCAAGTTTGAGGTCACCCTGGGCTACTTTGAGACCCTGTCTCAAAATAAAAAAGGGCTGGGGGTGTAGCTCAGTGTCAAGAGTGCTTTTTTATCCCCCAACCTTTTTTTTTTTTAAGTGGGGGACTTAAAAAGAAAGGTGGGGGTAGTTCTGAGAACAAGAGAGAGAGAAAAAAAGAATAATAAAGGTTGGGAGTGGTTGTGAGAGCAAGAGCAATTCAGTATAATAAATTTGGATATGTTTGTATAGAGTATATCTGAGGTAGCCTCAGGGAGTCTAGGTAATACTTTGGCTTTAGGGTTGAGAGTGTAGTTTTGTGGTAGAATGCATGCTTAGCATGTGTGAGGCCCTGGGATCAATTCTTAGCACCAAATAAAGAAAGAACTTTAAAAAAAAACTTTGGCTTGGCCATGAATCAAACAAGCCTCCAAAAAAGTGGTGACTTATTTGTGACTTCTTTTTGCAGATGTTTCTGTACCTTTAGAATGACCACACCGGAGCTGAATTGTAGCTCAGTGGTAGAGCTCTTATCTAGAATGTGTAAGGCCCTAGGTTTGATTGCCTGTACTCGAGGTGGGGTGGGGTGGGGTGGGGATAGGAGAGTGTTCTGTCCATGCAGAAAGGTATGTCATTTTTGCATTTGGTATCTGTGACAGGTTTAGCAGAACTGAATGAAACCCTAGCCGAACTTGCTAGGAGATACACACTAGTTCTTTGACCTTTCTAACTCTTGCTGTGGGTTTTCCTAGGTCTCCGCCGGGTGAGAGACCTTTGTCGAGTTCTGCAGTTGCCACCAACGTTTGAGGATACAGCAATTGCTTACTACCAACAGGCATATCGGCACTCTGGCATCCGAGCTGCTAGGCTGCAGAAGAAGGAGGTGTTGGTTGGATGCTGTGTTTTAATCACCTGCCGGCAGCATAATTGGCCCCTAACCATGGGAACCATCTGTGCCCTATTGTATGCAGATCTGGATGTGTTTTCTGGCACATACATGCAGATAGTGAAGCTCCTGGGGCTGGACGTGCCATCCTTGTGCCTGGCAGATTTGGTGAAGACTTATTGTAGCAGGTACCTGCCTAGGAAGAGACACTGAGATGGGTTATATCCTTATACCTAAATTCTTTTTAACTGAAGGGTTTTTGTTTGTTATCAGAGCCCAGTTAAAAGGATGTGGAAGAAAACTATCTTGTGCCCACTACTAATAAGATTAATACTGTTATATGTTTCTAGAATTTTGTAAGTTTCAAATTTCATTGCTTTCACAGCAACCTTAATGATGTAGGAAAAGTAGTTCTTTTTTTTTTTTAGAATTTTAATATTTATTTTTTAGTTTTCGGCGGACACAACATCTTTGTTTGTATGTGGTGCTGAGGATCGAACCCGGGCCGCACGCACACCAGGCGAGCGCGCCACCGCTTGAGCCACATCCCCAGCCCCAAGGAAAAGTAGTTCTTAACCTTGGCACAAGGCTGCTGTGTTGCACTGCTCCTGTTACATGCTTTATGAATGGCAGTTCTGGGAATTGCATGGTGTGGGGCATGTGTGGCTGTGTGCAGTGCCCTGCCTCAGCAGGATCATCTGTAAGTGGAGCTGAAAGGATATTAGTTAATGGAAGGACTGGGGTTAGAAGCTAAGTCTTTTTTTTTTTTTTTTAAGTAGCTGAGTTCTTTTAGTTTGTTTTTGTTTTTCTTTGTATCAAGGATTGAACTCAGGGGCACTTGACCACTGAACCACATCCCCAGCGCTATTTTGTATTTTATTTAGAGACAAGGTCTCACTAAGTTGCTTAGGGCCTTGCTATTGCTGAGGCTGGCTTTGAATTCTAGATCCTCCTGCCTCAGCCTCCCAAGCCACTGAGATTACAGGTGTGCGCCATCACGCCCAGATTATTTTTTTCTAACAAGTATAGTAGATTCCCAGCAGCAGCACCACCACCACCACAACAACAAAAAAGTAATGGTTAGGGGTGTAGCCCTGTGGTATAATGCTTGCCTAGCATATGAAAGACCCTAGGTTTGATCCCCAGCACCTAAATATATGTGTGTGTGTGTGTGTGTGTGTGTATAAAATAATGGTTGAAGCTTGATTACTTCCTAGCTAGATGACTAGGGGCTGAGTTTCAACTCTAAATGCATATAACTGGGTACATTTTTATGAAGATGAAATGAGAGAACATTGTAGAGCACTTAGAATAGTGACTGACAGGGAGGTGCTCAAGTGATAGTACCTTGATGCTTTCTTCGACTACCTCTATGAATTTGCTATCAGTAAACTTGAGTGTTCCCAAGAGGTCAGAATAGCTTTCCCTCCTTGAGTGGCCTGCCCTTCCTCATCCTGACAGAGCAGACTACCCCACCAGCCATCATCATTGAGAACTGACCCTTATTTTGCTTATTTCAGCTTCAAACTCTTCCAAGTCTCCGCATCAGTGCCAGCCAAATACGTGGAAGACAAAGACAAGATGCTGTCTCGAACCTTGCAACTGGTAGAACTGGCAAATGAGACGTGGCTGGTGACTGGGCGGCATCCCTTGCCTGTCATCACTGCAGCTACTTTCCTGGCGTGGCAGTCTCTGCAGCCTTCAGATCGTCTGACATGTTCCCTTGCCCGATTTTGTAAATTGGCAAACGTGGACCTCCCATACCCTGCTGCATCCCGCTTGCAGGAGCTGCTGGCTGTGTTGCTGCGGATGGCTGACCAATTGGCATGGTTGCAGGTTCTGAAACTTGACAAGCGGTCTGTAGTGAAGTACATTGGTGACCTTCTCCAGCACCGCCACATGCTGATCCGCATGGCCTTTCGGAATGGAACAGCAGAAACGGAGGAGGAGAAGGAGCAGCAGGGGCAAGGGCAGGAGCAAAAACATGGAGAAGAGGAGGTGGGGGATAGTTCCTTAGATCTGTGCAAGAGGAAGAGGCCAGCTAGTCCTGCCCTTCTTCTCCCACCCTGCATGTTAAAGCCTCCAAAGCGGATCTGTCCTGTACTCCCTGTATCCACAGTTACTGGAGATGAGAACATCTCTGATAGTGAAATAGAGCAGTATTTGCGTACCCCTCAGGAAGTTAGGGACTTTGAGAGAGCCCAAGCTGCTAGCCGAGCTTCCACAAGTGTCCCTAATCCTCCTTGATGCACAGCCCACTGGAGGTACCTTACTTCCTGACAGCAGCTGGATAATAGGCCTGTCAAATTCAAGGAAATAGGCATATACAAGCCCTTGGATATTGTCTTGTGTAAAGGGATCAAGAGTGGTACTACAGTTAGTTGGACTTGAAGTCCTGGAGTAGAAACTGGGAGGAGTGACTGTAAGTGGGAAAGAGTCTCCCTTGGTGCAGATCAAGTTGCATATGTTCACATTCTGTGGGATGTGAACTGGCTTCCTGCCTGATGTGGAAATGCCAGCCTCTTTTGCCCTCGTTTGCATTAAACACATTGACAGTTTTGCAGGCCTAGTATGGCTGCCTTAGTGGCACTTCTGTGGGGTGGCTGGTACTGTCAGTACTATCCAGCCTCAAGAGCAATAACTGGAGAATTCTTTGCCCCATATCCATTCTAGGTACTGGTGGGTTTGTGTATGGTGTCATGAAATCCTTTACCTCATTAACAAAAGGACTGTGTGTTGTCTATGGCTATAGCTCAAAGGGTCTTGCAAATTTTTAATATATTAAAACAAGAGGCATCTGCTAGAAAACATTCTATTGTATAAAACCCGGGCTTTTAAAAACATGTTTTCTTTGGCACTTTTCATTCCCTCCCTCCCCTTTCCCCAGAGTATTGCAAAAAGCTCTCCAGTGCTAAGGCATTGGCAGGGTATGTAAACAGCAGCCAGCGTATGTGGAAGAATAATACAAAGCTTTTTTTTTTTTTTTTTTCCCCCCCTAATATTGTCTGTGCAGCAAGCATAAATAACAGGACCCATCTCAAGAAGCATGGGTTTCTCCCTTCCCCTGTGTCTTCTTCCACTTGGTGGTCAGGCCAGGGTGATATGAAGACAAGGAGGGGACTTGGACCAGATCTGGGTTCCCTGTTGCTATTCACAAGCCCCAAGGTTCCTTTTACTTCATTTGGTCCTGTAGTAAAAGACTGGTGGTTGCCATTTAGGTTGGGGAAAATATGGGTGCTGAAATTTTAAAAGTAGTGAAGGCACTGGCCCTTGATGAGCTGCAGGAACCCTAGCCATCACCTCTAGGTTGGGCTTGGGCTTCTGAGTCCAGGAGCTGGTTTGACATTTGGGGGTTTCTCCCTACTGTGGAATTGAGAAAAAGATTATGGGGTGACTCTTCCATGTGGCTCATGGAGGCAAGGAGATGTTCTTCCTTGATGTTGGAAGGCCCAGACTGGGAAATAGTTCTTAATAGAACAATAAGTGCTTTTCCAGACACCACCTGCAATGTTAGGGTGGAGCTGCACTTCAGAGCATTTGTAGATTCCACCCATATCCATGTACCAGCTCCCTCCACTTTCTTAAGCCCATGGGGCATGTGGCAGAGTCAGCTTCTCAGGTGTATGGCCTAGGCTTTGTCCTGAGGCACTGTTGCTGAGCCCTGCTGTAGGGTTTGTGTACCACTCCATGGGGATGGTGTCTGTCCCTAATTGTGCACCCCCTCTCCCCTAGGACTAGCTGATTTGCAAAGCTGCCTTTTACACTGCACCCTCTTTATTGCATAGTTAATCCCAAAAAGCAGCACCTGTTACCTGACACCTGGCTCATGTGCTAGGATGGCTCTCTCAGCCAAAACCTGGGGAGGAAAGAGGCCCAGGATCTAGGCAGTGATCCACCCACCTTGCCAGAAGAGGGCGATGAGGAATAATGTGGTTCCCAGGATACCTCCCTTCATCTGTGTCTCTCTAGTAAGGCAGTGTGGATGGGACTGTGGGGAGAACTTAAAAGCCCACCTGGGCTGTGCGGTGCCCTTCACTCTATTTGCGGGTTACTCCGTAGACTGATAAGGCTTTCTCCCTTTTCTGGGAAGCCACCAAGAACTTGACCATCAAAACTGGCCTGAGCTGGACGGACATGTATCATGCTTGTTTCTAGGATTGTCTGTCGCTACTGCAGTGGTGGCCCTCCAGGCATGTGGCAAACATCTGCCAATCTCCTCCCAGCCTCCACGGGACTAAAGCTGGTGGGCTCACATGCAGCCATCGGGATGGCCACCTCAAACCTGTTGACGTACTGGTAGACGTCTTTCAGGGCCCCGGTATGAGCCCTTGTCACCGGCCTATACTAAAGCGTCCCCCGCCCCTGCCCTAGACGGTGGTTTCGCTCTTCCAGAGGCCTGTCTTCATGCAACCGCCCCCAGCCACCTCTGCGCCTGTCATGTTGACGTCGTCGTACTTGCCCCCCTTGGGGGCACCGTTCAGGTTGGCTGTGTTGAGCGGGTACGAGCGGCGCTTGCTTTCTTTCTCCAGCGCGCCGCCACCTTTGAGATTGTCGCGGCTGGCGCTGCGGCGCTGACCGGGCCGCCCGGTCTCAGGGAGTGGTGCGACGCTGGTGTCGCTGCCCTCGGACGGGGTGAGCATGGGCTCGCCCTCCAGCGGGAGACCGGCGCCTGGGCTGTTGCGGCTGCTGCCTGGGTAGCTGTCGGAAGGGCTGTTGTGCAGGCTGCCGCTCTCGCTGGATAGCAGCTCTGGCGCCCCGGGGGCAGCTCCTGCACGCAGGGCCTTGAGCCGGTTCTTGCCCCCAGCTTCCCCCGCGCGGTGCCCCTTGGCCCGACTCTTGTGCACTCGGCGCCCATGGTGCAAGTTGTTGGGGTGGCGGGGAACAAGGCTCCCCCGGGAGCCCGTGGGCTCTGGCTCCCCTTCCCCACGTGCTGCAACCCCTGCCTCGCACACCTGACTCTGGGCCAGCTGTAGGTTGGTGAGCTTGCAGGGGCCCAGTGGTGGCATGTGGCCGCTGCTGCCGCTGGGAGAGGATTTGAGGGAGGCGGGCCTCTCTCCCAGCACTGGGGAACCGTCCTCTACGGGGGCGGGCAGGGCTCGGGGTGGGGTGTGGGAGGCCGAAGGCGAGGCAGGAGGACAGCAGGCACGCCAGGAGGCCCTAACGTCCCTGCGCCTGGCACAATGATGCGTGAAGACGAAGAGGCCCAGGGCAGAGGCCGCCACCCCATACAGACAACTGCACACTACCCGGGGCAGCCAGCGCTGGGACACTGCCAGAGCCCCGCAGGCCCACATAGCCAGGTACAGGAAATGTGTGGTCATCAGCGCCCCCAGCTGGACTCCCGGAGAATAGAGGCCGTCACCGTCCTCAAGGGGCCCGGGAGCCGCCACTCCAGCGCTCCCGGTAGCCAGAAGGGAGCCTGAGTCACTCAGAAGGGCACCGCTGCTCCTGAGTCTGGTGGAACCCCTCATCTCCTCTCCAGGCTCCAAGGAGATCCTGCTGTTGCCTGCCTTTGTGCTCTGTGCCAGAGGACCCCGCAAATGCAGCCCTGCACACAGGAAGTAGATCCAGGTGATCAGCAGAATCAAAGCTACCGGGATGTAGAAGGCTCCGAGGCTAGGACGCCACACCAACCAGCAGCTGAGGGGAGACACAGAGGCAGTGGATGAGGAGGAGGCGCAGCACATCTGACGTGGGACCCACAAGCCGAGATGGTTGGGGAGATAGGATATGGGAAGCGCAGAGGCAGCTCTTGGCTTAATCAACATGCATGAGTTTAGGTGGGGTCCCTGGCAAGGTAGGCCTGACCAGTTATGCCTCCCTATGGTATAGAAGGCATCCAGCGACCATGGGTAGGTTTGGGGCAGAAGGAAGTGGTGCTCACTAGGGACCGTGGTCCCGGTAGTTGTGGATGTTGACTGCAGCGGTGATGCCACAGATGATGAGTGGAATGCCTCCAGCAATCAAGTAGAACCTGGAGGGGAATGGGGTTTGGAGATCAGCAAGATGGGAGAAGGAAAAGGAGATCCAGGAACTCCAAACCCTTGACCTGATATCTTTGTCCCAGCCTCTTTCCCCTTGAATCTTGTCAGAATTGTTTTTACCAGAGATGCTGGCTTAATAGGTTCCTACAGGACTTGACCAAGAACAATCTTGCTCTCTCTGACCCTAAACAGTGTAGAAAAGTCCCAGCTGCCACTCAGGTTTTCATGATCCCTGTCCAATGTCTTTTGGAGTTACCTCCTTCCCTGACCTTGTCACATCTGAAAAGCTTGCAAGATGCACCCACTCCACAGCCCGTGTAACCTGTCTGCACCAAGTGCATTGCCTCTTTGGAGAGTGATCTCCAAGGATCTTGCATCTACTCTGCATCCACCCTGGGAGCTTTGCTACACCAGCCTGAGTCCCTCTCTGGTTGCAAAGCTGACAGTTGAAAGTATGTACCGGAGCATGGGGCGGGGAGCAGGCGGGGCAGGGTCCCCTTCTTGTGGAGGGGGTGCCCTCCAGGTGAGCTCCTTGTGCAGGACTCGGGCCTTCACCCCCATCCAGAGCAGTGTGGACAATGAAGAGTAGTGCAGAGTGATGCCCACCTGCAGGGTCAAGGCACTGAGGCTGGGGGACCTGGGCTGCTATGACCGGGCAACCTCAGAGCCTCCGCCCTGCCAGTATGCTCCCACCCCTCCCAGTGTTTCCAGCCCCCACTCCCACAGCTCTTTCTCTTTACCCAGATCATGACCTAGATACTCACTAAGCTTCTGTATCTGTTGCTATTCCCTCTGCTTCCACCCAGGGTTCTCTCCTGCCCTACATATTCTCAAGCCCCCTGCCATTGCTGTCTGGCTTGTCCCTAACCCACCTCCATTGTGATCCCCACTCTCCACTTTGAAGCCCCATCTCTTATTTTCTCTGATCTGGTTCTTACCATGCCTTCTCATTCTCTATGCCACCTCCACTCACCCTCCAAGGCTGGCAAAGAGAGAACAGCGGAGCTGGAACCTATTCCCATGAGCCTCTTTATTGCTGTACATCTCCCTACTCTAAGCCTAGGTTGCTATCACTCATCCTGGGGCCCCTAGCCCTTTCTACTTACCGCCTGGCAGACCATCTGGTAGTTGGTGAGTGTGATGCCCCCGGCAAAGACAGCAGAGGTCATGGCCATGTGGAAACACAGGTTCAGCAGCATGTGCCAACCCTTCCGGGACACATGAATAGAGCTGCCCCAAAAAGAGTCTTTCATTAATGGGCTGTCCAACACAAGGTAGACCTATGGAGTCTCAAGGACACTGGAAGAGCTAACGGGGAGGGGGGGAAGGCAGATATCTATGTATGTGCATGTGTGTGTGAATGTGACCAAGGCCACAGGACAGAAAGTCCTTAACTCCCCAAATAATTCTCCAACCTTTAGATACAATGCTAGACAAGAACCTGGCTAAGTCATGTGGACCCACCTGAGAAAGAAACACCTGCCAGTCCTTGGTGACACCTGCTCCCATCCCCCCTCACCCTCCTTTCCTGCATCAGCTCCCACCTGTGGTTGAGGATGTAGGTGATGATGGTGGAGAAGAGGCA